CAATTGTAGTCGGGCGGACCTAGGCAGTCTTTAATCAGCCTCCCCTCAAGTCAGGTGTGTGATGCGACCCGTGCACACTGACTTTCAGGTTCGCAGCTGAGGGGTAAAGCCAGCTGTGTCTGCACGGAGCCTTCCCAGGGCCAGGCAACCCTGGGTCGTAAGTGGCCTTGCCGCAGTTTTGGGGCGAAGCTGCGGTCGACCTTCTTCTTATTAAAATGACTTCCAAAACCGAGCTTCGGAACTCCCGAGAGAGGATAACCCCAACAATGTCAACGAACGACGAGAAGGAGTTGCAGAGGGCGAGACTGGTCGCTGCATCTCACATTGCATCGGAGACCGACGGAGAAGAGTCACAATCCGAGGGGAGAGCGAGTAGCACTCCCCAATCGAAACACACAGGTGGGGCTCAGCTGAGCACCACCTCAGAAATAGCAAAATGTCTCACCATCAGAGACGAGCGAGGGTCAACAGAGCCCGCTTCGTTTTCGGCAAGATAGCCAAGAATGAGGCTGAAGGCAAAACTGACCCTCGGATGCCGAGGACAAGGCCAAATTCCTGCGGAGATCGCGGAATATGAGCAGTATAAAGCGGCAAACCCGGCGGCGTTCCAGCCTCGAAGGCAAAGCGAATTCGCTCACAGGAAGTGAGCGAAAGCGCACCTAAAGAGCGAAGGACCCACAGGGTAAGCCGCGTGCGACGAACTTTGTCAGCCAGGCAAAGAAGTTTAGCGAGGTGGCCAGAGACAGTCTGGCTATGGCACTGGTGGACGAGCTCCATGACGACGGTCGCCTGCTGTCGGAGAATGGGAGGAGATTGAGGCCAAGTTGGCCGACATGGTGACCGACAGGTTGGTCAGCATGCCGACCGGCCCATCCCCTCCTTCGACTCCTCAGACGTGGTCAGAGGGCACCGGTCATCAGGTGCGACGACGGGTTCTCCCAAAGCTTCCTGGCGGAGTGTGTGGCTAAGATCAGCGACACATGGGCTGGCCTTAAGATTAGGCTAGTCACGCCAGGGAGATCCCAGGAGACCCAGAGCTCGCATCTGGTTACCAAAGGGCCAAACTGACCATGTCTGAGGCCCAGAACCCAGACATACATACAGAGGACTGGACCATCCTCAGAGCAAGGCAGGAGATGAAGCGAGTTAGCCTTTCCTCCTGCTGATCAACCAGCGCTGTCTGCCCCAGCTGGAGCAATGGACCACAAGGTAAGGTACGGCATCAGAAGGCCAAGATTAAGGTCTCTTGCCGAGCCGGACGAGATTCTGGAGGAGGTCGATGACACCAACAAATTGTTGGACGACATGGTCATCGACGACATATCTCCCACGCCACCCCCACCAACATCGATGTCGAGAATCGTGCAGATTAACCTGAAGCGCAGCTCGCACGCTTCAGCTAATCTCACGATCCTTCTAAGGAGAGGGATATCGACATCGGTCTGATACAGGAGCCTTGGACCAGGGACGGGCAAGTTCAGTGCTAGGACTGTATCAAGATTATATCCACTGCAATCGACAAAGAGGTTGAACAACGCCTTCAAAGAGACTTGTAACTAACATTCTCGAAGAAGCAATACCCACCGTGGTGGACAAAGGAATTAGCGAGCTCAGGAAGAGCGCGAGAAAGTCCTTTAACCACAGCTATGCAACCCGGGATTGGGATCATACAAAGAGGCACAAAAAATTTACAAGAAGCAGTATACAAGGCCAAGAAAGAGTCGTGGCAAAAAACTACTGCGAGTCACTGGAAGCATAAAGGACACGGCGAGAGTAAGCAAAATCCTCGCCAAAGGTCACATAAGCCCTACCCTGATCAACAGGGCACGGCTCTGCTACGACGACAATTGAGGAGTCACTAGAGCTACTAGTTGACACCCACTTCCAGGAAGCCTAAGAGTGAGCTCGGAACCCGAGGAGGGAACGAGCTCTCAAATGGATACACCTACGGCAGACATCATTACCACTGAGCGTATCCAGTGGGCAATAGATTCTTTCGATAAGTATAAAAGCCCGGGCCCAGACGGCTTAATACCGGCAATGCTACAATCAGCTAAGGACAGTATTTGCAAATGGCTAAAAGCCATTTACGAAGCTTGTTTAAGACTGACGCACGTCCCACTGCTGTGGAGAGAGGCTAAAGTCATTTTTATACCGAAACCGGGCAGAAGGGGGCACATCCTAGCAAAGGATTATAGACCGATAAGTCTCACCTCCTTCACCCTGAAGACACTAGAAAGACTCTTGGACGTCCACATCCGAGAGTCTCTAGAAGGGCATCAACTCTCGGATGCGCAGCATGCGTATCGCAGAGGAAAATCTACGGAAACAGCGCTACACGTAGTTGTACATCATGTCGAGAAGACATTACAACACAAACAATACACGATGGCAGCCTTCCTAGACATCGAAGGCGTGTTCAATAACGTGAACCCCGACTCTATCCTGGGCTCCCTCAACTTGCTAGGTATTGAGAGAGGCATCAGAGAGTGGATCGGAGTCATGCTAAAGAGCAGGACGATCACAGCCGAACTGAGTGGCACTCACCTCACGCGGACTGTGAAGAGAGGCACACCTCAGGGCGGGGTACTATCGCCCCTACTCTGCTCACAAATATGAACGCCATATTGACAGATCTCAATACGGGTGGAGTCAAAGCAGTTGCATACGCGACGACGTAGTACTGCTAGTATCAGGACCATACCCTGACGTTATTAGCGAAATAATGACGGGTGCGCTAGGTCGTTTAAACAAACGGGCAGAAACCTGCGGACTAGGTATCAACCCCACTAAAACGGAACTTATGCTCTTCACACGAAGAACTAAGATACCTCCTTCAACATGCCCAGTATTAGCGGCATGGAGCTAAAACTATCGGAGCGAGCGAAGTATCTAGGAGTTATCCTGGATGCAACGGGCAGCGAGTGCGGGGGCAGTGGGTGGAATGCGCTCATGCCCCGCGGCTGCTCTCAACGCTATCCTAGATAAATGCCGATAGAGCTATTCGTGAAGGACACTGCGGCACAGAGCGCAGTAAGACTGAAGGCGAACAATTGCTGGAGGGACTACGGCGCCGGGCACGGCAAGATCCTTGCAAACAGCGGCATTAACACAGACGTTAAGACCGACTACATGATCGCGGAAATGAAATTCGGGAACGCATTCTCGACATCATACCCATCAAGGGATGACTGGAGTAGGGGCAGAGTAGTAGTGGAGAACGAGGTGTCCCTCTACACCGATGGCTCAAAAATGAGCTGCGGCGTAGGGGCTGGGATCTTCGCTGAAAATTGGGGAATTGAAAAGGCTTTCAATCTCTCCAACTCAGCGACGGTCTTTCAGGCTGAGTTACTAGCCATAAGGGAAGCAGTCGAACTTTCCTTAAGGCAGGACCTCAGGGGCAAAAGAGTTCGAATCTACTCGGATAGCCAAGCGGCTATAAAATCCCTATCTGCCGTGAAAACAAACTCACAACTAGTGGCAGAATGCAAGAAGGCCCTTAATAGACTTGCCGAAAAATAAGGGACAAGTAACATGGGTACCGGGACACAACGAGATCCCACGTAATGAGAAGGCAGACGAACTTCTGACTTCGAACAAGACAGACAAGGATCCATGACCACTTTAGACAGATAGCTAGTAAAGAATGGCAAAGGAAGAGCGATCACAGAAGGTCAAGGGAATGTTTGCCGAGGTACGACAAGAAACGAACCAGGGAACTGCTATCCAACAGCAAGCGGGATATCAGCAGGTTCACGGCACTCACCACGGGACATTGGGCGATCGGTTCGCACGCAATGAAGTTGGGACTGCCATACAACGCAATCTGTAGAAGCTGTAAGCAACCTACAGAGCAAGAGACACCGGAACATCTGCTCTGCTTCTGCCCAGCGCTAAACCACATCAGATTTCGCCACTTCGGTGCCTACCAGATGTAGTCACTGAGAAGCATAGGAAAGCTGAAAGTTTCAGCAATCCTAGGTTTCCTTGCTGACTCTGGATGGTACTGATAGTGAATAACAACAACAAAAAACAGAGGGAGTGGAACAAAAAGGAGCTTAGCTCTAATTTGAGGCCCCAGCAATGGGCCTCACCACTGTAACCTACCTACCTACCTTATATAGTCGGAGGTGCCTCCTTCACTGCGTTGCAAACTTCTGACTCAAATTATAATACCCTGCAAGGGTATAAAAATAGTCAAACAAAATGGAAAAATGAAATTCTCAAATATTCAAAAAGGCTTTATATCTGGGTAAATGAAAATATTTCGATGTTAAGCTTTATTATTATTATTTTTTTTTTTTAATTATTGATCGTTTCTATTGCACCTATATGATTTTCATAAAATTAAGTAAGAAATTCTGGAATATCTAATATTATAACTATATCTGAAAAGTGGAAAAGTTATACATTTTTAATTTCCAAGTCCTAAGAAAAAACTTCGTAAATCAATTGTCTCCTTACGGCAAATAAGTCGAGGCAGCTAGGCAATTGTATAGTAAGTTAAATATAGATAAATAATTATTTTTAATCTCAAGGGTATGATTAATTTGTTTGATTCGTTCTCCATTGCGGCAAATCTATGGTAAGTGTCCACATTTTATTGATATCATCTTTCCTTTACACATTTTCGGGCGAACAAGAGTTCTAATTGGCTGTGTATTTACCAATATGGCCTGCAAACGTCAGCTGTCATGATTGTCGGCCATCTCTTAATTATACCTTTGCATAGGATTTTATTAGAAGTTTACTACACTGTGAAGGAGACGTTCCCTCGATATATTATTGATGAGCATTTGCAGCCGAGTCGATCTAAGCCATCTCCATCTGTCCTTTCCGCTGTCCAAATATGTATATGCAAACCAGTCCTTACCCTTCAGTACCAAAATTCCTTTCCTGTCCGATTCCTGGTGTCATGTTCAAAAAACAAAAACAAATCTCATGGGTTTCGGTTAGAGAACTCCGAAACAAAGTAGGCAATGAAAATTCTACTGTGTTCGGATACTGCCAAACAATTAATTGTTGTTTCTGACGGGATTCGGAGCAGTGGTTCCGAAATTAGATTGGTATGATGAAAAATATTATTGAACGCAATAAAAGAATCGATAGTCGTTAGTGAAATCGATTTTTTCACAGCTCTAATGACAGCTGAAGTATTCACAAGTTTTTTGCAATGTAATTTATTAAATATTGTTAACGGGTAAGTGACTTATTTGTATTCAGTTAATAAATTAATTTCCAGAATTGCTTTTGAACCTGGACACTTTTTTAACCTAGACGGTGTGAACGGAAGGAGATTGTATATCCAGTATTTGTTTTCTTCTTAATTGGTGTGTATATTTGTGAAAAATATTGTCCATTTGATTCTAATATCCATATGTACATATATACATATGAATTTTAATTATAGATTGACGAGGCAACAGCCGGAAGGAGAGACACGAAACATACTTTTAGGAGAAATGCAAGAAGTTATGCTAAGAAAAATTGTGGTAATCATTGAACAAATTATAAAGTTTTTTAAATGAATAAATAAATAAAAAAAATTTATTATAAATTGCGTCAGATATTTACTATGGGGCGGGGGTTCCGGGGATCTTCTACACGTTTTCCTCTGGGATTCCTATCTGATTCTACTTTAAATTCCACTACGATTCTTTGGGGATCCACCTGGTACTCCTTTGAGAGTCCTACCTGATTCTACTCTGAATTCCGCTACGATTACTACCTGATTCCGTTCCAAATTCCTGGATGATTCTGTTCAGAATCCCTTTCGAAATTCCCTTCTGATTCAGGGGGGAATTCGTGCCGAAATTCACGACAAATTCCTGGCAGGATTCCTTGAAAATTCCTTAGGTAGTCCGAATTCAGGGTTGCTAACCCTACTGTATGCAAATTCCTGGATGGCTTGTATGAAAGCTCCCTAATGATTCAGGATGGAGTCCATTCCATTCCAACCTGATTCAGACCTGAATCCTAAAGGATTGGTACTGAAGGGCATATATAGAACGAAACGAAAGAAGGTATTTCTTCATTTTTTTAACATGAATATAAATAGCTTTATTGTATTCATTATTAATTATCTGATTGCAATCTGCAGGGGTATACAAACTTCGGCTTGGTGAAGTTGGCTTTCCTTCTTGTTTTATTTTCATTTATTTATAAATTCTCTTAAATTTTCTGTATATCTGTTTTAGAATTTGTAGGGTTTTCGGACAAAAGTTAATCACAGAGCCAATTAGAATGTGCGTCGAATTAACGTCGATGAGCTAGCTACGCAATGGAACGGTGGAGAATGGAACACGGGAATAATTTTTATTTGGAACTTATTTCGTAAAAAACAACTAAGAAGAATTAAATTTACTAATTTATTTGAGGCTTTTGCAGATTTGAGCTACGCAAGTCCCTCAATTAAAATCCAGTCTTCACCTCTTTTGAATTTGCTGCCCCCGCAGAGGAAGTACCGCTATGCATGGTATTCCAGGTACTGAGCTCTTACTCAGGTCAACAGTGGCCAAACTTATGGAACCGCTTCATACAAAGCGGGACAGCAAAAAAAAAGGTTAAAGAGCTGTGCTCTCAGAGGATGGACTACGGACTATGGGCATATTGGAGATCTAATAGGGATAATTTGGTGAATTTTGGTCCCATTAAAGTAGTTTAGGCAGATTTTGAGAAAATCGCTTCACAGTTTTTTGTTTACAATAGCTGTAGGATGGGCACAAATTCCGAAGCTGGAACCGGCTGAGAACTAGTGAACCAATCCACCAACGGACCTAAGTTTCACATTTAAAGTGTTGACGTGAGTTTTTATAACTTATGTACGTATTAATGAGGAAATAAATTTAAAAATAAAGAATTAGCATTGTAACCAAAACATAATCAAACACGATCATAACATAAGACAAAAAGAACAACACATTGAGAAACGGTAAGAATTTGTATTGCATTTGCTTATAATTTGTGTAGACTTATTATAATTTGTATACCCTTGCAGGGTATTATAATTTCAGTCAGAAGTTTGCAACGCAGTAAAGGAGGCACCTC